AGGAAATACGACTGCATATCTGAATGACGGTATGCAACAGAAGCCCCAGATAACCTCACACAGGATTGTGACATGTACAAGGAACAATCTTCATTGTTTTTATTCACTGAGGCTTTGTTAAAGTAATTAGCTTTATGTTGACTAATACACTCACACAATTGAGTAAGAGAGTACAATAAACTGACCAGATAGATGATAAATATATGCAAATAAATACTTTTTCTATATACCAACAATAACGAAACATCGAAAAGGAAATATATATAGTAAGGAAAACAGCATAGTACTGGCTTAAGAATAAGTAAATGGTCAGTGGAACAAAAAAACAGAGGACAGAAATAAGATTCTTGCACACCTAAGGACCTGGCATATTACAGAGGTGGCATTACAATCAATAGAGAAGAAATGGATTAATATACAGTACTGGGAAAACTCCATGTGGGGGAAAAAAAAGCCTAATACATCATATTTTAAAATTAAAGTCCAGATGGATTATAGGAGAAGACTGAAAAACTGAACCTTAAAACTATTAAAAAATAATACAGGAGAGTATCTTTATGATCTCCGTTAGGGGAAGATTTAGTAAACAAAAGTACAGTAAAGAACAAACAGTAATGGAAAAGATGGGTGAATTTGACACTATCATGAAAAACTTCTGGGTGAGAGAAGGCACTACAAAGGTAAAAGGCAAGGGACAGTCTGGGAAAAGATAACAAAAACACACATTATAGAAAAATGATTAATCCTCAATATATAAAGAAGTTCTACAAGTTGATAAGAAAAAGACAAATAACCTTACCTCAAAGAATGGGTTAAAAATATGAGCAGGTAATTCACACAAGAGAAAAACTGAACGGTTAATTCATTTCTGGAAAAATGCTCAGTCTTACTAGGCAAATTAAAACAATTTCAAGAGCATTTCTCTTCCATCATACTGGCAAAAAATTATCAAGGGCAATATCACAAACTTAAATTGGAGAATATCAAGAGAATAAGGAAACAGAAAATCTCAGACATTGTTACTAGAGGTATGAACTGATACTATCACTTTCAAGAACAATTTGAGTATCTAGTAAAACAAAGTGTGCACTCCTATGCTACAGCAATTTTATTACTATGTACAAATCCTTGACAAACTCTTATGCGCATGTACATGGAAACATACCCTGCTACTACATGAGACAGCAAAGAATAGAAACAATCTAAATGGCCATCAGTAGTAGGGAAAGAGTTAAATACAATGTGGCAAATTCAAAACATGAAACACTAGATAGCAGTTTAAAAAATGGAACTATATTACATAACAGATTTACCAAGGACAAATCTCAGAAAAATGTTGAGTAATACGGGCAAGTTGCAGAACAAAATGTAAAGAATACTACCTCTGAAAAAATAAAAACACTTTTTTAAACAGATGCATAAATGTTTACAAAATATGCTTAAAAATGAATTGGAAGGACATATGATTTATGACTGATGATTGTTGTTGCTTCTCAGAGCAAGAGGTAGATGAGCGAAAGTGAACTGAGAATGAGAAACAGAATTTGTGCTTAAGATAGTATATCGCTTTCATCAAAAAAACGAAAATATGTCAAAATATTAATAATGATCAAATCTGGGTGGTAGGCATTTGTTATATCATTCCCTTTACTTTCCTATATTCTTAACTTTCTCAACAAAAAAGAACAAAAATATTTCCTGAAATAAAAACTTGATTCTCCATCCTGAAAGATAATATACGTGCCAGGAAAAAGTGATCCAACATGGTCAAGATTGAGATGTACTCTAACAAAATAACTTTAAAATTAAAGAAAGAGCCTACTAGGAGACCAGAACAAAATATAAAGCTAATTATACAGAAAGGAAAATATCAAGTTGGTATCAGACTTCTTCATAACACTATTCAACATTAATACTATAGTACAATAAACTTTAGCAAAGAACGGCCAGTTATGAACAAGTTAGAACTTGGGGGGACATTATTTGCGTGAACTCTTTGTGAGGAAACTGCGAGAGGACAAACTTCAGCCAACCAAGAGATATCTAGAGAAATTTCAGCAAAAGGACCTTGTGGAAAGCACTGAATATATTTAACTATAGAACAAAGATGAAATGAAAGGTTGGGATAAATGTGACAGAAGAGCATGTAAATATAATATGCCTTGACAATATGAAAAGTGTACAACTAACAAAATTTGGGAAGAGAAGGTGGGAGGTAAAACAAGCCTACTTACTGACTCATCTGTAATAGGTAAAAAATCAAAGGTTAGTTTTTAAAGTCAACTAATCAAGTAATAGAAGGAATAAATATTGTCTACAGAAACAGAGCACTATAATACGAGAATAAAAGAAAAAGCTTCCTGGGCGCCTGGGTGGCTCAGTTGGTTAGGAGCCTTCGGCTCAGGTCATGATCCTGGAGTCCCGGGATCGAGTCCCACATTGGGCTCCCTGCTCAGCAGGGAGTCTGCTTCTCCCTCTGACCCTCCCCCCCTCACACTCTCTCTCTATCTCATTCTATCTCTCAAAATAAATAAATAAATAAATAAATAAATAAATAAAAGAAAAACTTTCCTAGTTATTACAAAACTATAGTAGTAAATGACCAAAATAAAAGGCTAGGGAAATAGATAAGTGAAAGTCTTTTTTAAAAACTGTAAAACAGGAGACCATGATTCATCATTATAACACCACATCAAAAACTGTATGGTGACTAACATAAAAAAAAATAAAAATAAAATGGAAAATCTCTCTTTAAAAAAAAATAAAATAATAAAAACTGTAAAAACCAGAAAATGTCATATAAAACAATATACAGAATTAAGCCCAAACATATCAAAAATGTAACTGGACTTTCACCTATTAACTTGAAAAATGATATTCAGATTGGTTCACAGAGCAAAACTCAATTCTATACTGCATATAAATGCCACACTTTAAAAAGTGATTTTTAAAAATTGAAAATAAAAGGATGAAGAAAGATCTTAAAAAGTAGAAAAAGGCAAGAAACAGATTCTCCCCTACGGCATTAACAAGTAAGGCAGGGTGCTGACATCTTGATTTTAGTCCTATAAGACCTATAAGTAGCAATGAGCACACAAAGCACCCAGACCTTGGTTTCTAAACATCATTTACCAATAAAAGGAACCAGAGCTCCTAGGAGAAACAGTTGATTCAAGGGTAGGGGAAGGAAAACAAGATGAACCCAGAATACCTGGAACCAGGAAGGAAAGAAAGGCTCAAAAATGGATGGGGGCATGTTAAAAGGTCAAAGAAACCAACTGGAAGGAGATCCCAATGGTCAAAGCGGAAGAACTTGAGCAAAAAATGATTCACTGGATCTACCTCACCCAGGAAAAATTAAAATCCATGATTTATAAAGAGATAATTGAATATATAAATAAATAGAGAAGGAACAGCTCTTCTCTATAGGACAATCCTAATTAATATACATAAAGAAAGAAGGGAAATGGAAAAAATCAATATTAGGCCAACACCACATTAATAACTGTTGCAGAGGGGCACCTGGGTGGCTCAGTCGGTTAAGCGGCTGCCTTCGGCTCAGGTCATGAGCCCAGGGTCCTGGGATCGAGCCCTGCATCGGGCTCCCTGCTCAGCAGAGATCCTGCTTCTCCCTTCCCTCTGCCTGCCATTACCTACTTGTGCTCTCTATCTGTCAAATAAATAAATAAATAATATCTTAAAAAAAAAATAAATAACTGTTGCAGACAAGACCCACTGGGCCAATGGATGCTAAAATTAGTAGGCAAAAGTTTCAGAAGAAACTAAATAGTCTCAAAGTATCTCCCCCAAGATATTTATTAATTACAAACAGAAAAATAATAACTTTACAATGGAGAAATCAGGCAGACACCACCTTTACCAAGTGATCAAAATTATCATCCACAGTAAGACATACCAATATTATGACTCCTCCGGTATGTTGCACTGAGAGGAACATAACATTATTTCTGTGGCACTCTTTCCAAAAATGCATTACTTCCATCTAAGCATGACAAAACAGCAGATAAACCCAAATTGGGTGCAAGCAGATGTAATGAGCCATTTATCCAGAGTGAAGCATATCTGAAGACTCTGGGAGAGATTTCCCCAAGACAATAAAATCAACAGATTACTTTAATGTGTCTGAGTGTCTTAAGAGACTTAGACAATTGATGGGGAGTTGGGAATTGAGTTAGGAATATGTATATAGAAAACTAAGGAAAAAAACAAATAACCCCCCAAATTATTAACTCCAGGAAAAATAAAAAATCACATAGAAAAAGCAATCTTGGTATATAAACAGCACGGCTGTGACCAGCACTTAATAGCCATAATATTGTAAACACTAAACAGTGATTCAATCAAAATTATGATACCGGTGAGATAGGCAGATGGGAAGTGTGTGTATGTGTGCATGCGCACACACACGCACAGGACATGTGCACACCTGCACACATATATTTGATTCAGGGTAAGAAAGTAGTAAATTCTTATTTTTTTTAAAAGATATTGGATGAGGACTAAACCTAGAAAAACAATTAAGAAATAGCAACATAAACATATTTGTTAAAGAAATGAAGGAAACATCAAAAAAAAGGCTGCAAAAGCAAAGAAAGTCAATCCCTCTAAGGAGAGAGACATTGAGGAGAAGGACAAGAGACCGCCTTTTTTAAGGGAATAAGCCTTGTAAAACTACCTGATTCTTTAAACAATGTGCATGCATAAGTTTGATAACAACTTTCATAAAAATAAAAACTCTAAAACGTAATCTGGAAATGTATGTATTTCTGACCCTAAAAGGGAAAGAAGAGCTGGGAAGGACTGAGATTCAGGTTATACGCAGAAGAATCACAAGTGTATAATTTGATAGCAACAGGGAGAAACCCACCCCCGCCAAGCCCAGGGCAGCCTCCTCAAGTGCAGGGCAGCCTTCTCATGACCTCTTGGCCTTGGCCTGACACCCTACAACAGCCCTCCTTGCCCAGTTCCCTGTCACTCACCAGCACACTGACCATCTGACATCTCTTTCTCCACCATCCAAGGTTCCTTCCCTTGCTCCAATAGGGAGATCATGTTGGGCTTAGAAATGGAGAGTCCTGTTTATAGGAGAAGAAAAATGAGAGCAAAGAAAGTGACAAACAGGGAGACAAACAACTTGCTATAACCTTTCTAGGACTCAATCTCTTGTTCATTAGTCAAGAAAAGAAATTAGAGGAAAGGCCAGAGAATGGAATGATGCTTGTATGAAGGATGAAGATGAAGCTTCTTCCATAACAGTGGTTCTCAAAGTGCTAGAGCAGAAGCACCACCACCTAGGATCTTATTAGAAATGCAAAATCTTAGGCCTCAACCCAGACCTACTGAATCAGAAACCACAGTGGTTCTCAAACTTTAATGGGCATCACAGTCATTTGGAGGGCTCATTAAAACCCAGACTACTGGGCCTATTTCCTGAGTTTCTGATTCTGTAGGTCTAGAGTGGGACCCCATAATTTGCAATTTAACAAATTCCTACCTCATTCTACAGCAATGGGAACTACTAATTTCTAACTCTTTGAAACTACTTCAAATTATTTCCTGGGAGCAGGAAGTAGAAATTCAGCTAAAGCACTTAAGATGACCTAGATATTCCCAATGGAGGAAACAAAAATACACCAGAGGGAAGATTCTGAATTATGGGGGAGACATCCTTACCAAGCCATACCAAGTTCCTGTAGTTCTCCAACATGACATCTCTGTATAAATCCTTCTGAGACTGGTCCAGCCATTCCCATTCCTCTTGAGAAAAATCTAGAGCCACATCTCTGAAGGTCACCAGACCCTTAAAAAAAAGAAAAAAAAAAAAGGTCTTATTTGCCAAGTGCTCCCATATGGTTCTAGCAGAAAAGATGAAATTCTGCCAGAGTTCAAAGCTCTATGTGGCCCAAGGAAAATAACTACTGGGGAGCATGTACATGCCCAGGTTTGTCAAATATTTTGAGAGAAAGAGAAATATTAGAAATAGACTCACCCCTTGAAAATTTCACATTTTTGTGAATAAAAAAACACATATACACAGGAAAAAAATTAGCTTATGACATGAAACATGAGTTTATAACATGAAAGTATGTGAGCAAGGCTATTTTATATTACATATACTATGTTTCAATAAATTCTCATAGGGGGCGCCTGGGTGACTCAGTCGGTTAAGCGACTGCCTTCGGCTCAGGTCATGATCCTGGAGTCCCGGGATCGAGTCCCGCATCGGGCTCCCTGTTCGGCAGGGAGTCTGCTTCTCCCTCTGACCCTCCCCCCTCTCATGTGCTCTCTCTCTCTCTCTCAAATAAATAAAATCTTTAAAATAAATAAATTAATTAAATAAATAAAAATAAATTCTCATAGGGATGAGAGGGGTCCTGTTTATAGGAGAAGAGACCGCCTTTTTTACACTCCCCAAACTGAGATATCAGATGGGTCAGAGTAGTGAGGGAAGGTCTTGAATTGGGCTTTAACAAAAGGGTACGGTCTGAAACTTAGACTTTATATATAAGGAGAAACTTGCAAAAATGTGTCCTGAAGAAATAATGAACCATATGTGAAGTGATTTAGATAGAATTTTCATTGGAAGGTTATATGAAAAATCTGGAAAAAAACTTTAATGTCAAAAAATAAGTTTAGGGGCACCTGGGTGGCACAATGGGTTGAACATCTGACTCTTGATTTCGGCTCAGGTCATGATCTCAGGGTCATGGGATCGAGCCCCACATAGGGCTCCACACTCAGTGGGGAGTCTGCTACTCTCCCTCTCCTTGCTCATGCTCTCTAAAATAAATTAAATAAAATCTTTTTAAAAATAAAGGGGCGCCTGGGTGGCTCAGTCGGTTAAGCATCTGCCTTCAGCCCAGTTCATGATCCCAGGGTCCTGGAATTGAGCCCCACTCCCTACTGAGCAGGGAGACTGCTTTTCCCTCTCCCTCTGCCTGCCGCTCCTGCTTGTGTGCTCTCTCCCTCTCGCTCTCTCTCCGTCAAATAAATACATAAAATCTTTTTAATAAATAAAATAAAATAAAATAAAAAACAGTTAGGGCGCCGGGGTGGCTCAGTTGGTTAAGCAACTGCCTTCAGCTCAGGTCATGATCCTGGAGTCCTGGGATCGAGTCCCACATCGGGCTCCCTGCTCAGCGGGGAGTCTGCTTCTC